AGCTAGGATTTTTAGAAGTTTGTGGTGAGTACAAATTGCCATATTCGTTACGTGATCAAAATCTTATCAAAGAATAGAAATAACGGCTTGGATTAAGCTTACCTAACGCTCAGCGCAACTGAAACTCAAATAATTCTGAGAATCGAATTGGTCACTTGCATGCTGCAGTTTCCTAAGCTTACACTTTACAATGAAATAAATCTATGAGTAAGGTTTCAAGTTTACTTTAGTCACATTTGGGAACATTCTGACCTTGCTTTGCTTTGAACAATTCGACTGAAGAGAGAGCAGACTTTCAATCAGTACCTTTGTCAAAATTTTGATAACATGAATTATTGAGGTTTTGTCTTTCTTCTATTCTTTGATACACATCAGCCAATTTTTTTAAACGTGGAGCCTTATTACACTGTAGATGGTCTGCTTAAATGATGAAGAAAAAGTAATATGCTGAGTTGTGCTGTTATTATTTAACAATGTTCGGTTAAGAAATTTGTTAATGAAACATATCAAACACATGCTGGTTCATTGCAAATAAATTATGAGATCTTTATCACATATGGTCTGTGTATTCATGTACTGTTTGAATCATTTATGATCAACAGCCTGGTAAGACAATGGGATCCCATTGGAGGTGTCAGTATGTTCTATATAGCTAGTCGGAAAGTTTTGGACCCTCAGTGGATTGATGGGGTCTATAGCTCACCTAGAAAATATTTATCCTCTTAATTTTACGGATTAGGTTACAAAAGGAATTGATAAGATATCCTATCTGGTACATTTTATAAATCTGTGGTCTCCAGTGATAAACAGGATCCCTCAAAGGATTTTTCTGAAAGTGGGAAGCCATCTGTAATTTTATACAGGGTCTAAACTGGGATTGGCAGGATCCCAGATGCAATCCCGCCTGGGATATGATTTTCCAGGTGGGAAACTATCTGAAATTTGAGGCAGGATCCCGAGAGGGATTGGTGGGATTCTAGGTTTAATCCTGCCTGGGATGTGCTTTCCCAGGTGGGATGCTATTAGGAATTTAAGGCAAGATCCCAACTTCAATTGGCGGGATCCCATGTGGGATCCCATGGGGGATGTTCCATAATCCCAGGTGGGATCCCATGCAGGATGTTCCATAATCCCAGGTGGGGTTCCCATGCGGGATGTTCCATAATTCCATGTGGGATCCCATGCGGGATGTTCCATAATCCCAGGTGGGATCCCATGCGGTATGTTCCATAATCCCAGGTGGGATCCCATGCGGGATGTTCCATAATCCCATGTGGGATCCCATGCGGGATGTTCCATAATCCCAGGTGGGATCCCATGCAGGATGTTCCATAATCCCTCCCGGGATCCCATGTGGGATGTTCCATAATCCCACCCGGGATCCCATGCGGGATGTTCCATAATCCCAGGTGGGATCCCATGCGGGATGTTCCATAATCCCAGGTGGGATCCCACCTGGGACACACCTGGGATCCCAGGTGGGATTGGCGGGATCCCACCTTATATTTTTACCTGGGTATACTCTCCCCCTGATGCAGCAACACAGTTTCTTTAGAAACTTACCCCCTTTACCTGCACAGCAGTCCAGCACTCAACATGAGTAGCAGAAAAAAAAGACTCCCTGTTTTAATTAATAAAATATAAGTGACTGAGTGTTATCACTGAGTGTTATCACTGTTTAGTACAGGTCAACGACAATAGACAAGAAAACAACATTTAATTAATATCATGATTCATAATTTATTTTATGTCGAGTTTATGTAAAAAATGTATCAAATAACATCAACAAAATGATGTTACAGCGTAAAAACAGAACAATTGATTAGAATTCTAACAATTATACCTCTTGGTAATCAACCAACAAATGATTTTTCTTGTGTAATTTGCGTAATATTTGTCAGATACAAATAGTCCTAAGAAGAGAGATAATTTGCAATCCGTTAAGGACATTTGAACTCCAAATACTAACATCGATTTTAGGCGACAAATATGGAATAAATTTTATTTCAGAGACAACTCGTCGTTTTATTCGAGTGGTTCCGCCCTAAGTGACCGTTCCGTACAACCCGAACAGGCCGATGGGACTCAGTCAAGGATGACCACAACCGCCTAATCGGAGACCACCGCTGAAAAGCGGTGAAAAATAAAATGCATAAGAGGAAAAAAATTCGGGGATTTTACAACCGACCGCTTAATACGGGTTCGACTATTCATTCCGAATCGACCAATCAGCCGACGTGAAGAGCTCTATTCACCAATGTGGTATATACTAAAAAACTGCTATAAGTGGGTAGATGGAGTTCAAGCTATGGAAAGCACGAAGAGAGAGTCTAAGCAGACGAAAGAAGCCTATTAAGTCCAGAAATTCTTCGGGAAAATTCTTATCTTTACCTTCTAAAATTGTAGCTCTAAGATTCTTGAGAACCCCACCTGTGATGGGTAAACAGTAGCTATTCACACTCCCAGAAAGGATAAACGGAACCGAACCCCCCTCCCCCCTTCCCATGGCTCTTTCGAAAATGATTGTAATATATTCTATCGTCAGTAGCGTAACTGACACATCTACGTTGTCGCAGTTTTTTAGATCTGGGGGGGAGTCAGAATATCAGGGCTTATTGACTTTTCGGATCCTGTACAATGTCTTTAAAGAGGGAGGGAAATTCATCCTTGTTTGCCTTTACGTCGGTGAATATCTCGCGTTAGCTTCATTAAACATCTCAGATTAAACTTAACAGTAATGCATAGCGACAACGCTCTCCCATGCCCGTCTCTCCCAGATTGATCCTTATTTCCAGGATTTTTCCACGGCTTGTTTTTCCCGGTTTTCCTTACTCCTCAAAAACCAGAACTCTAAATTCGAGTTGCAAATGCCACCTTCTCAAAACGTTTGTATTTCACGTCTTGCATGTCACCCAGTCGAGGGTCACCATGGGATTAACCGATAGCCATACTGTATATCGTCAAAAAACTAGCTGTTAGGCGTAAAATTTGAACAATTTTAACCCTTAGTTGTAGAAGAAAATTAACTTTAAAAATCTTTTCTACCTACAATGTGTTATTTTGTGTTATTCTGGGTTAACCGCAGCAGAAACGGTCGGCCCTCCTCAGGTTTAAGAAAGTTTCGGTTTTTTGAACAGGCTGTTTTAGTTAAGTTTGCAATTGTGGAAAAAAAGACATCATCACCTAGGGTACCTCCTATGATGAGGACGCTTTCGATAAACAGATTAAAGCACCATCTCCCAAAGTGAAAGGTAATTTCTCTTTTCTTGCCTCCGACGATTTTTGACGTAACATTATATCTGTCTCATTACATGCAAAAGGAGCGCGTTGCGTGACATCCTAAGGAACGGCTACCAATGAAACTTGCAGCTATAAGATCTGAAAATATCGAGGTTTATATCTCATTTAATAACTCTATCCAAGGAAATGGGCAAAAGTTGAACGAATGAGACATCGGTGCGCTCACTACTTCAAACGACAAGATGTGACAAAACATCATATCTGTTGCATAACATGCTAAAGAGGTGTGTCGCGTGACATTCTCAGGAACGGCTGCCTATGATTAATACTAGCAGCTATTGGGTCAGAAAATATCGAAATTCATCTCTCATTCAATAAACCTATTCAAAAGAGTGGGCAAAAGTTATAGGGCGAGTAAGACTTAGGCGAGCTCACTGCTTCAAACGACATGAAATGGGTTATGCAAGCTGATACAGAAGTTTTCTTCCTTTTGTTATTGATTTTCTCTTCTATTCTAACAAAATGCCAGCGACTTGTTTCATTGTTTGACATTCAAATGTTAGTTTATTGTACTTAGGTAATAAGTATAAAATCTAATCGGAGAAACTAAATAAAATCATTTGACTCCAACTTTTTGGCTCGTTCTGAGCTTCTATTAATGCTTTGCGCGCCAGTAATTAGAACTAAGATAAAACTTCTCGTTTTGTCTTAGAATAATTAGTTTAAACAAAATATTTAAAATGCATCGTTCTTCTTGTAAAAAATAACACAATTTATCGCGTTCAAAATTAAAGGAAAAATCTCCGAAAATTAACTAATACCAGGATTAAATCCTGGCCATTACGACCAAAATCTGTCATTTTAAGTTTAGATAAACCAAATTCTGATCGGCAGAAAGAAACTTTAGGTACCAATGACTGGGTACAAATCCTCGAAAAGTTACGAACAATTTCCATCTGACATAAACCAAAAGATAATCGAGAAATCGGATAACTGATTATTCTCTAATTTCCATGGAAATTCTCCACACATGCACATGGCTACAACAGTTTTACATCACTCATGAGACAAAAACCGATTCAGAAAAATCTGTACAAAAAGAAATTGGAAAACGTTTACAAGACCTCAACTTCGACGTAAATGCAAAGCCTTAATCCTCTTAGTAGCTAATACTTAGATTAAAAAAAAAACCTTTTACATAGCTAGTCATGATAATTGCAAGACATCATATAAAAGAAAAAAAAACAGTGGTTCCGGCAGGATATCAAAGATGAAGCTCGTAAGAGCAGTTCAGACAAGCAAAAAGTCAACTTTTGAATCAATTGGAAATCTGTTCTCTTGGTAAACTTTACTTTGGCTGTCTTTTGGTTTTTCCTACTCTGAGAAGAAGACTCCAGACAAACATCTCATCTGTAGCTTACTAGTTTATGGTCAACATATCAGCGTTTGCAGGTATCTTAAAACTCCCTGGGATTCCAATGCTCAATGCCTTAACTGAAAAATAAAAGAATCTAAGTTTAGGGAGGATAGTTGAGTTGCCATGAAATATTTCTTGGCACATTAAAAACGATACAGTGCACAAGAGGATTTTTTTGAAAAAAATCAGCTTTTTTACTCCTACCAGGTTTCCTAAAAAGAATGTTATCATCGTAAACGTGCCGGAGCAAAACATAAATTCGTAACCAAACTGAAACATATAAGCAACAATTATGATGCAATGTAACTTTGTATTGAATAGAACGTGTAAACAGAATATCTACTTGCTTCAGCTTCGAAATATCCTTGAAATCCAGGTTGACGTCGTCACCAATGAGTACAAATGGTGCCCAGTAAATCACCTCCTTGAACTTTTCAATTTCTCTCATACACTTCATGGCCTGATTGAGAGCTTCACTTGCCTTCTTGCCTTTGGCAAGTGCATCGTAGAAGAAACTCATGAACTCCAGGGTTCCCTCGTCGTCAATCGCCCACAAGGTTACCACAACAGATCTGGCACCGGCACCCAAAAGTGCACGCGCCATGCCGACCACACCCTCGGCCATGACCTCCCCACGAGCAGTGTGACAGCAGCTAAGTACAACCAGACGTGCTCGCAACCCAGCTTCTATGACATCTTTCATCGTCAGTAGATAGTCTTTCTCTTGCGGCTGAGGGTTATCTCTTGTGGTGTTTGGTGCCAGGATAACTTCTCCAGTTTCCATTTTACCGTGCGCTGCAATGTGAACTAACGCCACTGATGATATTCGTTTTAACACTTCATGTTTTGTTGCCATTTCTCCAGTGAGGGGGGAAACATTTAGGATACGTCCGATCATCTCCACTTCTTTCCTTGCTCCTGGAAGTTGCACCAAAAGTCCTCCCTCATAGATGATGTGTTTGAAATATGGGTCGCCGACAAGTAATGCACCAGTCTTCATGTGAAAGTCAGCTGGACAATCTTGAATTAGTTGCAACGTCGTCAGAGAGGGAAGCACACGAATTCTGAAAGAATCACTTAGATATGATGAGTTGGAGTCCTGCAACGCTGCGTAAGGTACAAGGCAAAATGGCCCCTCAGGAACGAATGTTAGTTCGTTGCCTTCGATCAGATCAGCAATAGGAGTAATGATGATGTCATGCAGCTTCTTTGAAGCACTTAATTGGGAGTGTCTCACATCAACTCGGATCACATCATTGGCCACTTCCTCTTGTGTCGGCGAATCACGAGGAAGATTTTCGATTGTAACAGTATCTCTTACACCGATTTCCTTCAGAGCAGTTTTGTTCAGAAGCCGGATGAAACATTGCAATTCATCCTCATACTTATAATTGTTGACGTGTACCTCTCTCATCTGGATATTATCTTCACTGAGACAAACCCAGAAGTAAACGCATGGTCCATTAATAGATATAAAAACTGTGCTCAATGGAACCCACCTCAGAGAAATGCGGAATGCGCTGTGCGTTAAAGAATCTCCAGGCTGATATTTTGTCACCATAAGATCCCTCAGAGCTTGAGCACGTCCTTTCTCTGCGGCAAGAAGAGCCTTCACAACTTGACCTCGATTGAGATTTATACGCCACAAACCTTTGTATGCTACTTGGTGCTGATTACGATAAGAAATCTTCCACTGATCGTTGAGTTGAAGACTGGCCCTGATATCATCATACAATTCTACACTCGAATAATAACAGTCAAAGGCCATCATAAGATTTCCTTGGCACTCAAAACTCCTTCCAAGGGAACAGAGTGCGCACGCCTCTCCAGTCTTATCTTCCACTTGTTTGGATATTTTTAGGTGAAGCTGATAACACTCAATAGCTGTTTCCAACTCTCTTTGACCCTGATGAATCCTGCCGAGAAGGCAATAGCTTCTTCCCTCTCCGGCCTTGTCTCCCACTTCTTTAGCAATTTCTAGATGACGTTGATGGTACTCGATTGCTGTTTTGAACTGTCGTAGACCTTGATAAGCGTTGCCGAGATTGCCATAACTTTTTCCCTCTCCGGCCTTGTCTCCCACTTCTTTAGCAATTTCTAGATGACGTTGATGGTACTCGATTGCTGTTTTGAACTTTCCTAAACCTTGATAAGCGTTGCCGAGACTGCCATAACTTCTTCCCTCTCCGGCCTTGTCTCCCACTTCTTTGGCAATTTCTAGATGACGTTGATGGTACTGGATGGCTGTTTTGAACTCTCCCAGACTATCAAAAGCAATGCCGAGATTTGCATAACTTCTTCCCTCTCCGGCCTTGTCTCCCACTTCTTCAGCAATTTCAAGACATTTCTGATGGTACTGGATGGCTGTTTTGAACTCTCCTAAACTATCAAAAGCAATGCCGAGATTGCCATAACTTTTTCCCTCTCCGGCCTTGTCTCCCACTTCTTTAGCAATTTCTAGACCACGTTGATGGCACTTGATGGCTGTTTTGAACTGTCCTAGACCATGATAAGCGTTGCCGAGATTGCCATAACTTCTTCCCTCTCCGGCCTTGTCTCCCACCTCTTTAGCAATTTCTAGACTACGTTGTTGGTACTCGATTGCTGTTTTGAACTGTCCTAGACCTTGATAAGCAATGCCGAGACTGAAATAATTTCCTCTCTCTCCGGCCTTGTCTCCCACTTCTTTAGCAATTTCTAGATGACGTTGATAATACTTGATGACTGTTTTGAACTGTCCTAGACCTCGATAAGCGTTGCCGAGATTGGCATAACTTGCTCCCTCTACGGCCCTATTTCCCAGTTCTTTTGCAATTTCTAGATGACGTTGATGGTACTTGATGGCTGTTTTAAACTGTCCTAGAGCTTGACAAGCGTTGCCGAGATTGCCATAACTTGCTCCCTCTCCGGCCTTGTCTCCCACTTCTTTAGCAATGTCTAGATCACGTTGATGGTACTCGATTGCTGTTTTGAACTGTCCTATACCTTGATAGGCGTAGCCGAGGCTGCAATAAATAATTCCCTCTCCGACCTTGTCCCCCACTTCTTTAGCTATTTCCAGATGTCGTTGATGGTACTTGATGGCTGTTTTGAACTCTCCTAGACCTTTATAAGCTTTGCCGAGATTCCCATAACTTCTTCTCTCTCCGGCCTTGTCTCCCACTTCTTTAGCTATTTCCAGATGTCGTTGATGGTACTTGATGGCTGTTTTAAACTCTTCTAGACTTTGATGAGCGTTGCCGAGATTGCCATAACTTGCTCCCTCTCCAGCTTTGTCTCCCACTTCTTTAGCAATTTCTAGATGACGTTGATGATACTGGATGGCTGTTTTGAACTCTCCAACATGATAAAAAGTAATGCCGAGATTGGCATAACTTGCTCCCTCTCCGGTCTTGTCTCCCACTTCTTTAGCTATTTCTAGATGACGTTTATGGTACTTGGTGGCTGTTTTGAACTCTCCTAGACCTTGATGAGCGTTGCCGAGATTGGCATAACTTCTTCCCTCTCCGGCCTTGTCTCCCACTTCTTTAACAATTTCTAGATGACGTTGATAGTACTCGATGGCTATTTTGAACTCTCCTAGACTATCAAAAGCAATGTCGAGATTGCCATATCTTCTTCCTTCTCTGGATTTGTCTCCCACTTTTTTAGCTATTTCTATATGACGTTGATAGTACTGGATGGCTGTTTTGAACTGTCCTAGAGTGTCATAAGCGTTGCCGAGATTGCCATAACTTCTTCCCTCTCCGGCCTTGTCTCCCACTTCTTTAGCAATTTTTAGATGACGTTGATGGTACTTGATGGCTGTTTTGAACTCTCCTAGACCTTGATAAGCGTTGCCGAGATTTCCATAACTTGTTCCCTCTCCGGCCTTGTCTCCCACTTCTTTAGCTATTTCTATATGACGTTGATGGTAGTGGATGGCTGTTTTGAACTCTCCTAGACCTTGATAAGCGTTGCCGCGATTGCCATAACTAGTTCCCTCTCCTGCCTTATCTCCCACCTCTTTAGCTATTTCTACATGACGTTGATGGTACTTGATGGCTGTTTTGTACTGCCCTAGACCTTGATAAGCGTTGCCGAGGTTGCCATAACTTGTTCCCTCTCCGGCCTTGTCTTCCACTTCTTTAGCAATTTCTAGATGACGTTGATGGTAGTTGATGGCTGTTTTGAACTCTCCTAGACCTTGATAAACGTTGCCGAGATTCGCATAACTTGTTCCCTCTCCGGCCTTGTCTCCCACTTCTTTAGCAATTTCTAGACATTGTTGATGGTACTCGATTGCTGTGTTGAACTGCTCGACACTATAGTAAGTACATCCGAGACTGTCATAAGTGTTCGCTTTGACTTTTAGTTCAACATTCGATTTCCTTATTAATTGAAGCAGACGTTCTTTATTGTTTTCAATCTTAAAACGTGTCAAGGGTAGCTAAACCATGAGTGGATTTGCGAAAGCAATGGAAATGTGTGTTTTAAAAATAATGAGAGTATTGGATAAAACCTTAAAACTGGAATGATAATTCGAGCGTGGGTTTCTTGAAGAGATTTGATTTCAAGTTATTTGAGAGTGTTAACTAGTTCTGAAGCGGATTTATTAGTTTGGGTTCGGTCGTCATGGTGATGTTCTTCTCAAGACAAAAATGAGGGGCATTCAGCAGAAACTCTGGGAATTAGTTATGGCCTCCTCTTTTAAGTAAAGTTTCGTGGAATAATCGAAAGAACTCCTTAGTAATATTTTAGCTTTTTTAAAATGCTCAGTGCAGTATAAGAGAACATTGCTTGTATTATGTGTAGAAGAATCTGCTTGGAACGTATTGATTTTCCTTGAAACATAACTCGCATTGCATCTCGTACCACGTTTGAAACAGTCGTTAAAGGATACGGCCAATCCCATATGCAACCAGCTCGTTGCTTCTTTATACCAGCAAAGTTCGACACAAGCTCTGGCTCCTGAAAAGGAGAGTATAATTGGTGGTGCGAGGTAATTTATCACTGTTAAAGTATAAACGTATCGATAAAATTGACTTAATTTCCCATTTTGCCGGGAACAAAAATTGTGATAAGGAAGGAAATTTGAATTTGAGGAAAAACTGAAACGAAACCATAAGGAGCAAGCGCAAAGCGGCTACTAATTAAGCTTCAATTGATGATGATAACGATGAATTTATCTCGCGCATTCTTCACTTTAATGTGCATGCTATTATGCTTTTTTCAGCACTTTTTGGGGAAGTTTTCAGGCAGACTGCATTGAGCAGTTTAACATTTGAAAGGGAATTTTTCAGATGTCTCCCTGCCGGGTTTTTTAAGCATCCCCTGCTAAGAGTTACGGAGAAGATGCAGGAAACGAGGGTTACCGTTTTTCCTCCATATCCGTGACAAGAATATCAAACTATTTGAAGATTTCATAGCTTAGGCAGCAGCACAGTCTCCTCAGATATTTTAAGACTCTGAATGTTGGCCCGGTCTAGGGCTTGAGCCCTCGACCTCCGGCGCTCTACAACGTGAACTAACCAGATGGCGGTATTTGAGAGCTTATTGACATTTTCCTCTACTTTTAACCCACATAACAGAATTGACACACCAGATACAATTGACACTTGGGGTGCAGTTACCTGCCACAAACCTCACAATCCTCTCTTGACGAAATCCGGGAATAGAATGTTGATGGCTTATATCTGGAAAAACCCACCTTTCTTAATAGCTTTGATTAAAGTGGGCTCCAATTGAACAGCAACTGTGGTATCATCGAGACATTCCACGTAGTTTGCTATGAGATTCAGGAAAGAAGGTTTAAAAAATTGGTCATTACATGCAATTGCAGCTATAAAGTGAAAAATTTACAATTTCATAGATTGCAGTCCATGTACGAGGATCATTTCGTTGCTTAATTTTCATCCGCTAGGGGGCGATTTCTGTTTTTACGCTACTTTTCTGCAGTTGCTCAGTTTTTTTCTTCTCTTGAGCAGATTGTGTATTCCGCTATTTTGTAACGCTGCACAACAGATTATGTTTGCACATGAAATTGTTACCCAAACGGAAATGAGCTGCTGCCCTGTTGCTGTAAAGCTTGGCGTTCAGTAGTTTATCTTTGCAGTTCACTTGAAGTCCTTCCGTGTAGGAGCGTATGGCGTTATTAGCTTCTCCTTGTCTGTATTCTTTGTTACCTTTCTCCAGACATACTTCCGCTATCCCTGAAAACACACCGTTTTAGTGTTAATAATATAGTAATGAGTTATACGACCATTGACGGATAATGCCAACTCTATATTTTCAAACGAACCTTTAGCTTAAAGGAGCTTAAATCTATTAATTAAAGAAAAAAAGGCAGAAAACTTTTATATCTGGTGTTTACATAACTGTCCAAGAAGGCGTGAAATATTTAGAAGACCAAAATAGGCGATACGGCCGAGACAAAATGCCTCCTTTTCTCTGTAGAATTCTCAAATCGCGTAAAATTTCTGCCAAACATGTATTGAACAATAACGGACAAACTGGTGTAAGCGTAAATACTTTTCTTTTTGGCGGCCTCAAAAAGTTACCCGTTTGGAAATTTTTAAATACTTGATCTTGTACCTACAGCTCTCTCTTACCGAAACTGACTTTCATACTAAAAATGACCAAATTTGCAAGCAGAATACTTTTACTGCGCAAATATCGTTCATTTTAGGTGGAAATTGTAGATACATCTTTAATCTCCAAAACATTGTGCGTTAATTTACAGGTAAGCACTTCTAACACTCAGAAAACTGAGTTTTACGAAGCTTTGTAGGCCAATTTTGGCTCATTCTTCTTTAATTTAGGGCTCTTCAAAGCTAAGTCGCGTTCAAATTTGCCGCTCTATTACATATGAATAATTAATGCGGTCTATGCATTCTGCTCAATCGGATCGAGCAATAAATTGTTTTTTTCCATTTTTTTTTATTTTACTAGTAACATAGTTTAAATTGGGAGGAAAAATATTTTGCTGTTTCAAAAATTTATTCACAGAACGTACGCAAATTTTGATGTAAACGTGACAAATGAAAAACTTTACTGGGGCGTCTTTCAAACAGTCTTACTTCACCTGGTTTTCTTACCTCTTAAAGGGTCATTGTATACATCCAGTTCAGCGTCATTTGACGTAACTTGACTTTCCTCTGTTGCTGAAATTACCAAGAAGATATTTTTCAACTTTGTTAGTGATCACAACTATGTACAATTACAACTAGCGTTCTAATACTGGTGTATTTAGTGCATTCCTCAAAACATTCAAGTCGAGGTAGTCCAAAAAATTGTGCACCAGAATTTAGATATACTTAATTAACAAACAGTACAAAATCACCAGAAAGAAGTCTTTCCCTGTTACTTTTTCTCACCTGTGGCTGGGAACTCATTTTTCACCTCCAGTTCTTCTCCCGTTGTTGGGAGGTTGTTTTCTGCCATAGCTAGAAATAAAATTGAATCGATTGTACTGCGCTAGATCCTTAAAAATAAAAAAGAAGAGACTCAAATGAAAGTAACCTAAAGAAAACGTTGTATACTTAATCACAGAGGAAGAATACGAATCTCAAAGTTTCCTCCGTCACGCTATTGTAGTTGCGTGACAGCCCAGTCAAGTTCCGCGGGTTGTGTCATGTTTTTTTAATGGTTTATTTGTTTGTTTTCGTAATCTCATCGGATGAAACGTCGTTCAAGGCTTTCCCTTATCAAAATGCGTGAGTTGCAATAAACAACCTGCACGATGACGGACTAAATGATGACGGAAAAGGTACATCTACTAAAAACCGAACTCTGACAGATAACCAGTTAGAAATGATACTACTAAACACCTTGTAGATACGTAGTTCGAAAATTTGAAGACAAAAATTTATTTACCGTTGACGATTACTGAGTCAAGTTTTGCGAGGCGGTGGTTGATGTTCCAAAGCGTTTAAAAAACCGGAATAATTAATCGTGTCGTTGACGAAGTTTCGTTTTCATACGTGATCAAGAAATCATAGTCATCGTGGTTCTGGGGTTAAAATTTTCACTTTTGTTGACACGTTTCCCCAATTTCTCTGCTATTTTTTTTTTAATTTATTATTATTAGAAAGCTAAAATATATTTTCACAAAAAAACTACATCACAATTATTTCTATCTATATATTTTACTTACATATGTACTTACACTATACTTACTTCTTACACGATGCTTACACTACATTAACTTGCACTACTTACAATACATATATTACAATACGATTACACTAGTCAAATTGCATTACAGTTGATCTATTTACGTTATTGTTTGCATGTTAATTGTTCGAGTCACTAATAAGAATTTTGTTTGTTAATTACACTACATAGGGTATTAATTTTCTAGAATTTAATGGATTATTTAATAATTAGGTAGCGAAAAGAAACAAATCAAAATTCAAAAGTAAGAAGAAAAAGGACACAATACAATTTTATAAACTAAGACAGAAAAAATTTTCCATTTTTTCATGAATTCCTTCTCCTTATTATTAGTGACTGTAATATATTTTTCTAGATAAATTTTTTCGCGCACAAGTGAGACAAAATCATCGAATTGGTACGTTATGGTATTTAAAGCGTTAAAATATAAGAAATATTTACCCAAAATAATGAGAATTTTGAGGGCTAAACAGTGTGTGACAGCGAATAATTCCGAACATAACCTCTAGTTCTGACAGCAGCAGTTTCGTATTACTAGAGATTGAGTACCACTCCTGGAATCTATTCCAAAATGAGCTTTGAGTATTCTGATTACTTGTTCGCTTAAGGAAATTGCATCACGTGCAGACTATTAAACCACAAGTCGAATAAGAGAAACCGTTGAAATATTTTCAAATCTGATAACAATAAACCGGGAAAATTCAACTGAAATTAAATTTGATTGTTGTCAGCCGCAAGAAAAATATGATTGCGATCTTTCATTATAAATAATATGAGCTCTACAGCTCTAATCAGTTGCAGAATGAAAATTGATTTGTACCTGTTAAACTGTTATCCTCTGAATCCCTCTATTCTCCAAACGATGTCATTTGTTAATTCTACATGCCTGAAAATATCAAAAATAATATTTTGCTTTACAACAATTTCGATGAAACAATGAAGGTAGCATATTCATGATCGCGAGTTTGAAAGATCTAACCTTATCTAATACTCAGTTTCGTGATCAAAATTGCTGTTCTTCTTTAAGAAAGTTATTGTGCTTTTTTTTTTGTTTGTTGTTTTTTTTTATTCTTATTATTACTTGTTTACATGTTTCTCCATGGCGATTAATGAATTCTGTGATTTAAATTCAGCTCTTTCTCTTTTAGTGCAAAACACTCGCAATCCGCAAAACCCCTTTTCTTCTCAGAGCAGGACATGTCACACTCTGCCATAACTAAATAGATGAGGGTGAATTTACACCGTGAGTTATATTGTACCAATGCAATTTCTCTTCAAGTGATCAACTCAATATATCCCTCGTTCAATATGATACACATTTGTTTTTGGTCATCTTCCCATTAGCGTTACAGTTCTCTCAAATTTTCATTTTCTGCTCTCACCGTGACAACTTCATAAAGTTCGTAAATAATAACGGTAAGCTTTTTTCTTGTAAATAACTCCCGCCAATTCTGCCCTAAATATTTTTGCAGTCAAAAGCGCTGGTGTCCAGTGAAATCACCAGAGGGAGATACAAAGCTAAAGAAATTACATTAATAATATGTATTCTTTATGTAAATTTTTTTCCAATTTTCTCGTCTTTCGATTATAGTGTGTTACATATTTCTTCATTATCTTTCCTCACCTGAAGATTACTTGCAATAAATTTAACTCTAATAAAGGTCTTTTCCAAGAAAAATACTTGACTTCTCGTTGTATCTAGAGAAAAGCATATTAAAATCGTTTTGCGTCTTGGAAAGAATTAAAACGAATACCATAAGTACTCTTCTGAAAGAAATATCCGAGAAAGATATTCACAATTTGTTAAATCTATGAACTCCATGCATCTTTGTGTACAGAAACCCTCAGTGTATCCTCAGTGTATTTTATGTATAAATTGTTTCTGAACCAGTTGTCTTTAAGTTAAAAGAGAAATCTGAGGTCCTAACTCTCTGTCTCTTTGAGCAGCAGAATTCTTTGCTGAGTTTGGATGCATAAATAATTGTGTAACAGTTCGTACGGACAAGTGACGCACATGATACTGGAATCAGAAATGCTACAGCTTCATAGACCCCTCATAGGAAGATGAATAAGCTACCTCAAGGTCTGGTATGTTTATCTACATGTAAGCATTGATGTTTAATCTGTCGTTTAACCTGATCTGAAGGATAGGTTTTTTTTTTCGGTCGTTGGTAAAAATGATTTTTTCCCTCGTCACGAAAGAGCTTGAAATTTCCTTTCTATCATCATGTATTTTAAGACAAGAATGATGATCTTAGCAGTATGCAGGATGATCCTTTATGTATCCACTGTATGTCACGGCTCATTAACGAGAAATCTATAGTTATATGTGAGAACTTCAGATCGTAAAATTTGATGATCTAAGATTCGATCTTGCGTTCGTGACGAGCAAACAAGATTAATATTTCTTTTGCTTCTTTTGTCTCATGTTTTAAATTATTTCTATTCGTATCTTTAGTCAATACCCATTTATCTCATTCACTGTATTAGGTCGCTAGTAACTTATTCTGTCCTCACCTTAACTCCTGTGAAAATGTGATTTGCCCACAAGTGTGTAACAAAACGGTGCACTTGGTATCACCGGCAGTATTGAAGCTGAATATAAACTCATGGCACTCGAAACAGAAAATCGTGTGTCATTGTTTATTTCGTGATCAATGATTCTATTTTGTAGCTATGCTGTTTCACTGTTTATACGTCAAGTTGAGACAGCCAGATATAACATCTTTTCGGTTTCCATTTTCACTAATCCGGAGTATAGCACAATGACAAAAACATCCTTTTTTTTTTTTTTTTTTTCGGTGATGTGATGGTCGTTAAACCACCGCCTGCTTAGGTTGTAGAGCGCCGGACTGCCATGCAGGAGGTCAAGGGTTCAGGTCCCAGGCCGGACCTAGGCTCTTACTGATAGTGCTCGTACGTACCGATAGTGCTCGTAAAAAAAGTATTAAATGCTTAAAGCAGTGCTTGTTTTTTGCCAAAAAAGTGCTAAAAAAGCGCTCGTGGGTTGTATAAAAATGCTCACTTTTTTCCGATTTTTTTTAAACATAGAATATTCTTATAGTCTTATTTTTTTCCACTGATTGATGGCAGAGTACGCTCTCGAGCTATCTCTGCCTTGGCTGGCTGACTTCCATTGTTCCTCGATGACAATGTGAATGACGCCATCTTGGAACGAGTGTGATTGAACGAAAAGCACTATATAACATCGTCCTAAACCAGATGAGCCCACGACATATCAGCGGCATCTTGTATGAGTATCCGCAGTTTACAATGTGACTTCCGCTTATTCTTGTTAAAGCGTATTTTACAGTTTACTCATGGAATAGGAAGTGCGTTTGAGCCAGTTTCTGGCAGATTTGAACAGAAAAGCGAGTCTTTTGTCGGAGTGTAATGACATTTTCATCGATGGCGCTGTTAACGAAATGTTTGGCTGGTTCGTAAGTTGTCGACCTGGTTTCGGTCGATCTGATTAATTAACACCCCTAGGGCAATACATATCATCGTCCCAAACCAGATGAGCCCATGACACGTCAGCGGAATCGTAGCGAGAGTCTTCTATTTTTCTGCTCGTTTCCAGCGAATCAAGAGACCGTGACCTGTGTGACTGACGATAAAGCGTCGTATTCTTCAATATTTTATTGCGAAAGTATTCTTCCCATAACTTGTACAAACTAATTTCTGTCTAGATCACATATTTAAGAAATAATCTAGCCTGTTATAAAGGCGTTAAAAGGAGGATCGACATTTAAATATGACCGGCCTAATAGTTTCGGTCGATGTTATCCTCTGACCTCGCTATCATCGACCAAAAGCAGATTCAGGTCAAAGATCATTTGCATAACTTTGCACTGTAAAATCTTTCGATTGGAACAAACATACAGTTCTTTTCTGTTTGTAATAAATTATCTTTACGTTTTATTTGACCATGATCTCTTGGTTTTTGTTCAACATCTTATTTACTACTAATAAATATATTTGCCAAGGGGTGGTCCAGTTAATATTTAACACTCATGCATTTATATTTTGCGGCTCGCGGGTAAATATTGGCGGGAAATCTAAATGTTTGGTAGAAGAACAAACATGGCTGATAACAGTACACCTTGGGCTTCAAGATGGACCGTACAGTTTGACCCTTATTCCGGGTATGTTAACGATGAAAGCAGCGCTGACGAACTCATAAAACAGTACGAGATAGCTACGACGACACGCTTCACTGTATTTAAACAAACAGGAGGATTTTCTAATTGCAGTAGGCTGGGTAAGTAAGCTCACATGTAAAGATTTACAAAATAAACCATACTGACAGTAAAGTAAAGTGAAGTATAACTTTATTTAGACACTATAGGTATTTAAAGCCAGGGGCGTGTGAGATCGTGTTATTAACATGAAATATAGATAAATCAAAATAAAAAAAGGGATTTAACTTTTTTCCAATAATTATTGATATCTTAAGAATACATGTACACATCATTATTCTTCGGTTTACCCTGGTCAGTTAGACTTTCAAAATTAACATGTAATTAAAATTCAACTTAGCTTCAAGTGTCAATTTACTGTGAGCCTGCAGCAAGAGTTGGCAAGAAATGCTTAATTAATTAAGATCAAGCTTAAAGTGTCAAAACCCTACTCAGTGCTATTGACACACAGCTGCCAGCATCCCCATCCATTACACCAGTCCTTGGGCTACATCTGGGTGGGGCAGGCTTGATTTTCAGGCCCTCCATTTTAAGCACCCATGTGTACATATGTACGTATGTGTTTGTGTACATGTATCGTATTGCTAACTTAGCTTGGTTCCTCTTCTCACATAAAAGAAAATGCAGATAAAAATGCTAAGAACCACCGTTTACAATGGGCTGACTCACAGGAGATGACAGGATGCAGACTAAGTTTTGATGGCATCCCATTCCAAATTGTGGGGGTCAAAGTTTTAGAATGCCAAAATGGGCCAGACAGAAATAAGGCACTCAAAAGGAAGGAGGCTCAAAAGAGACTACAAAAAGATGTAAGCATGCATAATAATTAACTAAATAAGAATGTTAACAAGATGATATTATTACTTAAGGACTCCCAAAGAGGATATCATATGTAGGGCATTACATAGTTATTGATTTACCTTCACCTATTTGCTCTTAAGCTAACAAGGTGGTAAGTCCCAACTGATTTTTCTAAGCAAGTTGGTGGGCACTCACCTCTCCCTCAGGGCAAATAGCAGGCAATAATGTTTTCTTTTTTACCACTTGCAAGTAAAAGGACATCACATTTTATTTGTTAAAATAAGCATTGTCGCAAAAAAGGACCACTGTGACTGCAGTTTACAAGGTAGGAATCAAGTACTATTTTAAAGGATACTTTTCATTACTTCTAAGTTTATTGATAACTTGACTATTCCCATATGACTGCTCTATCTAACAATCCAATAAATCTATTTGGTTTCAGAAGGAGACTGCTGATCACTGCTATAACAACACCAAACAGCGCTTTAAAGTACAGGATACGAAGAAATGTGACTGTCCAGCAAAGATCCACCTAAGGAAAATAATCAAGTATCCTGAAAATAAGGTCAGTTTATTTTAATTATTGAATAAGGGTTCAGGGGGCACTACCATTAACATGAATGATCACTAGCCTAATAAAGGGTGCTTAATCCTAATGGGCCTTGTGTTACATGTAGGTGAAGTGGACATATGATAAGACAACCTGGACATTTCGTTGTGCAGAATTGAAACAAATTTACCTGTAATGGAAACAGAGTGAATATTTTAGAAACCAATTTTTCAAATATTATTTTAATTAAAACATTGTATCGTTAGATTTCAGAGAACAAAAAGAGTAGAAGGGAGACAATGTCAAAATTTCTGAGAACATCCCTAGAGTCAGAAAAGAAGCAAACAATAGCTACAGAGGAGTGTATTTACATATTACTTCCTAAACCTACAGATCACTTATTTCACCCCATGGGGAGGGTAAGTACTTGGCCATCAATTAAATTTTTTTTGGAATCAGGAAACTGAAGTTTGGTGGGGAATTGAAGGTGACTTAACTTCACACAGATCATCAGTCTACTGTAGACTGTGCTGCTTCCACTGTCATGTCGAATATATATAAAGAATGAATAAAGATTATACATCACAACAAAAGACCAATAAAATGTACTACATGTAGAGCTTCTTTTAGCTACACTGGCACTCATTCCTCAAACTCAATGTCAAGACTATAATATCACAATTTTATCGGAGAGGGATTTGGAAAAAATTTTCTCATATTGAACCAATGACATCAAAAGCAGCCGGCTCCAGGTTATTGAACCGTTGACCAAGAAAACCTGGGGATGAGGTTGTGTAATTTTTTAAATGAATAAATAATCAAGCAATTATTCTTTCTTTCTTGTTGTGTAATCAGACTGCTAGGCTACTTCCGCCTATTGATGAGACACTGGTTAAAAAAATTCATGAGCTTGTTGGAAGTGGTGTTAATTGTGTTTCTGAAATGCAACGGCACCTGCATCATTATGTAAAGAAGGAACTTTTCACAGGCCAACAGCCTCCAGATCTAACCAACAGACGGTTCTTCCCAACAACCATGGATGTCAGGAACCACATGTATTGTGCCACAGTGGTGTGCAGACATTCACAAATTGATCAAGAAAACCTTGACTTAAAAATCAAGAAGTGGAAAGAAGAAAGCCCAGATGATAATTTCTTTTTCAGGCCTTACTGCCTAACAAGTGATAGCGAGTCCTATCAACAACCACAGTCACTGAAGGAAGAAGACAGCACTGATGTAATTAAAATAAGTATAGGTGATCCATTTTAAAGAAGACAACATGGCTGTGTGATTCTGAGATACATGCTGGTCAGATCCTCCTAAAACAAAAATTCCCTCTTGTAGATGGTCTAAGGGACCCTGTTATTGTGGGTGCATTAGTCACTCCAGCCATTAGTTAGTTTGTACAGATCATAAACACTGGCTCACACTGGGTTTGCCTGAGCACAATAGCTACTAGTCCTGGAACTGTCAAGGTGTATGACAGCTTATATCAAAATGTAAGCGCGGTTGCCATTGATCATTCATGTCGCATGCTATTGTATACTGGTTCTACAGTCACTTTTTGTAATGAAAGAGTGCAAAAGCAAACAAATTCAAATGACTGTGGCTTGTTTGCACTGGCATTTGCTACAGATTTATGCCATGGCCTAGACCCCACAGCGCAGTCATATGACCAAGACAAAATGCGCAAACACTACATCAACTGCCTGGACTTGCATGATATGGTTCCTTTCCCAAGAACGTCAAGACGGGTACCATATCATGCAATCACCAAAAGAAAAGCAGTGACAATCTAAAAGTCTATATGTGGCTATGGTCTGAATGATTTGTAATTCAAAATTATGAATGAATTCAAAATTATGAAAACTATGAATTTCTCCGTCAGTTTTCTGCCTAACTCAGTTTTCTGCGTAACTTATTTTTCCTTGTTCTTGAGTTTGTGGTGCTTTAATATCATGATGAAAATTGCCTGTAAGAATTTCATGGATGATACTTATAGACCCACATTTAATCCATAGGTTATATTCTAC